TCGTGGGGGCTTTTAAAATCATTAAATTAAAATCATTTATTAACAAAAAATTTGAAAAGTAACTTTAATTTTTAATTTGCAAATTATTATTCGAAAATTTCGACACTAGGATACAATTTAAAATGAAAATGTATTGAGTATTTCCGACTTACTTAAAGAAAATAATGAAAGCTTTAGTTGGTGAAAAATAATTCGAATAATCATTTTAACTTTTCCTGTATCTATGTAAAATTTTTGATAAATCTACAACATGGAAAATCTCATAACGTTTAATTAACAACAAATAAATAAATAAATCAAATTATGGAAAAAAATAAAATTAGAGTATTGATTTTTCAAAGTTAAAATTTAAAGATTGTTTTGTTTATAATACGCATGTACCTAAAAAAGTTTTTAATATAATTACATTTGAACTTTTTAAATCAAATCAGAATTAATTGTTTTTCCAAACGTGATTTTAAAGATTGTTTTGTTTATAATACGTATGTACCTAAAAAAGTCCTAAAATATAATTACATTTGAACTTTTTAAATCAAATCAGATGTAATTGTTGTTCCAAACGTGATGCGATTACAATTTGGTTTACGGTAGAGCTCAATTTACTTTTTACAGCACATTTAAATCTTTAAAAATGTATCCTCGAACATATTATAGTGATAAATTCCGAAAATGATATAGGCAGTAAGTTAAATATCCAATTTTCAATTTTCGTTAAAAGCAAAGCAGATTCCAACGAGTGAAATTACTTCTCATTCATTTCTTTTTATTGAATCTCAGAATCTGTATTCTCTAGGTTAATTTTTTTTTCAAAAATACAGATAACTATTTTTCAAATCTAAGCAATAGTCTATTTCGTTACCATCAACATAATGTTTGTATATGAGGATAAAATAATTGTATGTTATAAAACAAAAATGTTCTTCTTTTGTGTGAAAGCTTTTGACGTTTTTAAGAAGAAATAAACATTAAAGAATGAGAATTAACACTAGATTGCCTAAGGAAGTCATTTTGATTGCTTTTAATTTCAATTCGAAAAACAATAATGCATGTATGACACAATTTCTTAGAATTCTGTCCAACATATATTTTTTTTATTGTTAATATTTACTATAAACTTGTTATATAACTGTAAATAATATAAAAAAATATTAAAAATTAGTTTCAGACAAATTTCTTTACACATTATTTATTCCTTTAGAATCCAGTAATTTTGACAGCTTCTGGGCAATATAGGTATATACTAAGCTTCAGTCTTTCTAGTGTTAATAACGGGGTTATTGAGCGAAAGCAAGCAGAGGGAGGAGCTAACTAGTCTGTTAAAAAAATTTTAAATTTGTTTAGAAGTAATATTTTAATTCTTCATAAAATATTTTGTCTAAAAGAAATATTTTTTTATTTCAATTAAATTTAATTTCAATATTTTATTTAAATTTTATTCTTCATAAAATATTTCGCATAGACAAAATATTTTATGAAGAATAAGATTTGTTTTCTAACCAAATATTTACTTATTTATTTTTTAAGAAAGTATTTATTTGTTTTTTAAACAAATTTATTAATAAAGTGCTAGATTTTATAAAATTTGAATATTCTTTGTATTTAACGGTAGGGGTGAATAAATATTTTTGGTGCAAATAATAATTTTTTCAACTTAGAATAATTTTCAATTTTATTACATTAAAAGAATTTAAAATATGGATTAAGATTTCACTTTACAAGACTTCTTTTTACTAAAAATTAATAGTTTCACTTTTCTCTGAAGTGTAAACACTCTTCTTTTTAAGGACATCTAAGGAAGGAGTTAATCCTGCCCATCTAAACACCGCTGCAAGCCATCCATTTTATCCATTTTTTCATGACCTATAATGAGTTTGGAACAAAGTGTGTTTTGAATAATTGTCATTGAAATGTTTCTACACCTAGTATTTAACTCAACTCCTCAATTTGTCACTGTCATAAATATTTAAAATTCTGCAAAATAATGCTTGTCAATTGGATACAGCTGCATTATCTTGATACTTTTGATTTCTTGTAAATGTGTTATAGCTTTAATATATATTGTAAATCTTTATTATATAACTTTGATATAGATTATTATAGACTGTAAAGATTGTAGATTGTAAAGTTTTATTTTCTGGTTCAAAGATTACTTCCCTTCTTCCATAAATAATATTAACTCAACTTATATAGATAGTGCTGAAATCTTTATGGTATGAATTTATTCTGCCCCGTCTTCAAATATCTTGGACAAATCTTAAAGCCAAATATTTTTATCGGAACTTTCCTGTGTTTTCATTTCCCAACTTTCGTTCAGTTTCGTGACAATTCTGTTTTAAGACTACTAAAGGTGGTCATTTAAAAACAAGACTTGCAAAAGAACTAAGCGTGGCATGATGGCGGGCACAGCAGATTCATTTTGACTCAACTTTTAAATTTAAGTATCTTTGTAGTTATTTTTATTTCATTTTAATTATTTATTTATTTATTGCTGACAAAATTTAGTTAACCGAAAAGAGAGAGAAAACTGTTTGTCCTATATTAGCATTCGCCTCATAAAATCGGTGAATCGTTAAAATGGAGAGAATCACTCAATAATGCGATTTTTTTTACTTTCATTCTTGTGAATTTTTTTTCGTGTTGTTTTTGCGGGATTTATATTTTTCCTTTTATTTAGGTTGATGATAGTTCAACACAAAAAAATTTAATTTTTTTTCTCCTCGCTTTCTTTACGTTCTTTGTGATAAATATTAGACAGTCGTTTGAAATTTATTTATTTATTTGAAATTTCATATAGAATTTTGTAATTTTTGAAGATTTTTAATGTTTTAAATTTTATTTTCTTTCTTTATTAATTAAACCGGTGTTTATTTTGATGTTCTTAAATTTTAAATTTTATTGTTGATTTATTTCGAAAGTAATCGAAATCAAAAATCATTTTCGTTTTAAATTTACTGTTGGTTTTCTTTAATTAAAAAATTTGAAACTAATAAATGTTCTATTAATTAATTTTTAAGTACTTTCGTTTAGTCTTTCAATTATTTCATTCCGTGTCGTAGTTTTAGACATTCTTTCTTTTTAAAACTTTTTTTGTTTTTTTGTTTCCAATGAGCTGCACAATCTGTCTTGCCGATGAGCAGACCTAGTGCGTTCTCCAGAGGTGGTATCCACTCTTTCAGGACCACCACAATGGGTGAGATACCGTTGGTCATGTTAATTTGCACGTCTAGTGCCTGCCACACTAGATGGCAGCACCGAGACTCTATTTGGATACTAAAGTGCACTAGGAATTTAATTTTGCCGGAAATGCCAAGAGCCAATAAGGCACTCCAGGGATCTTTTACATGCCGCATAATCATACGACATGGCCGCTGAGGATTTTCTGCATCCCGAAAATCCGGTGTCTGGGCCGGGGATCGAACCCGCAGACTTGGGCTCAGAAGGCCGACGACAAACCAACTGCGCCACCCAGCCACGCTTTTTAAAACTTATGAACAACAAAGTACAACAATGGAAAAGAAACAACTCACTCCGCACTCCGTAAATATATTGGGAATTTCTCAATGGTGTTTCAGATTAATACAGAGGTTTCTGTTACTAAGGTTACAAGTAGTTAAGTTTAACATATTTATTTGAAAGTTTGGTTGCGATATTTTAATAAGCTATAAGACACTACAGTGTATAATGTGTCTAAGCTATTTCTTGTCAACTTGCAAGACAAGAGTCTTGGATAAAGTAAGAGGTTCCCCAAAACTTTATTAAGCGAGCCCCGGAGGCTCAGGGGATAGAACGTTCGCCTCTCAATGAGGTGTTCCAGGTTCGAATCCCAACTTTGGCTGGTCGATACAAATTCTGTTCCTGGCTCATACCGACCACAGTGTTGACATAAAATATACCAAGTGTTAGACTGATCAGGGGTAAGAATTTTCTTGCCGGTCGAGTTGACACAGGGAAGTCTTTGTGGTTTTCCTCTCCATGTAATGCAAACGCGGGTTAGTTCAATCAAAATGTCCTCCACGAAGGCAAGTTTGTATCAATGCTTGATTTAAGTTTTCTTCCCTTCTTCGAAATTACGACGTTGCCGAGTTAAACATTGATAGCCATAAACTCAGAATCGAGTTGACTGTTCAACGCCGGTTATGACATAAAATAAAACTTTATTATTTAAAATTTTTAGAACTTCAATGTCTATAAACTTGGAAATTCGGATATAGAATATGGGTTATATGTGCTATACGTATTGTGTTATTATTGTGTTCTTACGTTATCTAGTTATTTATTATAAAACAGCAAAGATCATTTAAGACTATTTTTACAAACACATAATCATGAGCCGCGATGGCTCAGGGGATAGAGCGTTCGCCTTCCAATGAGGCGAACCGGGTTCGAATCCCAGTCGATACGAATTCCGCATCCGGCTTGCACCGACCACAGTGCTAACGTGAAATATCCTCAGTGGTAGACGGATCATGGGTTAGAGTCCCCTTGCCATCAGGTTAACCGTGGGGGGTTCTCGTGGTCTTCCTCTCCATGTAACGCAATTGCGGGTTAGCTCCATCAGAAAGTCCTCCACGAAAGCAAATTTCTCCCAATACTAACAATCCAGGAGTTTCCTTGTCTTCTGGATTAGGTGGTTCGAAATTACAAGGCTACGGAGTTGAACATTAGTAGTCGTTTACCCATAAAATTGGGTCGGCTGTTCAACGACGGTTATTAAAAAAGAAAATTTAAATAAATAAAGCATAATTATTATTCTTTATACGTGTATAATTCATCTGAAAACATTATTATGTCAGACATTTTAAACATAATTTAGTCAAAAGTTATTTCTGATATTTGGAGTAGACGTTTCTACAAAATTTATCATACAAAAACTATCATACTGGGAAATTTTGAAACAAAGATAAAAGTTAAAATTTTCTTTTTTCTGAATACCAATTATATTTAAGTTACGTGTCTAAATTATGCATATACGCAATATGATTGTTTTAATTTTGTTGTAGATGCCCAGAGTTACGGAGAAATCAATCAACTAGGTGGATTTTTCGTGAATGGTCGACCTCTACCTAACGCAATTCGTTTACGAATAGTGGAATTGGCTCAACTAGGAGTGCGTCCCTGCGACATCTCAAGACAGTTAAAAGTATCACACGGATGTGTATCGAAAATTCTAGCAAGGTATCAAGAGACAGGCTCCATACTCCCAGGAGCCATTGGTGGAAGCAAGCCCCGAGTCACAACTCCAAAAGTAGTGTCCTACATACGACACCTAAAACAAAAAGATCCCGGGATTTTTGCCTGGGAAATCAGAGACAAGCTTTTAGGGGACAGAGTTTGCGACAAATATAATGTCCCCAGTGTCAGCAGTATCAGTAGAATATTAAGGCATAAAATTGGAGTCAATAATAGTTTGGACAAAAATCGACACCTGTACAATGGAATTTATCAGTATACTTGTGCGGGAAGTTCAGTGCAACCACAACCAGCAACTCCTTTGCTGAGCAAAGAAAACTCTTCAGTGACACCAAGACCGTGGCCATCAGCCCACTCTGTTTCTGATTTGCTAGGGCACTTCCAGTCTACATCAGCGCTGACTGGGCAGCCATTTCCCACTCCTGACGCAACTGCTGCCATTACACAAAACTATAACTATTATATGTACCACCATTTACACGGTCATCATCATCATCATCATCAGACTAACGCTATGACAAGTTTCCTTCCAAATATTCATCAAGTCCCATAAAAGTTATATAAAATAAAACCCTATTGAATTCTGTGATAATTGGTGCCAAAGAGTAACGCTTTTAATTCGTTGTTTCTGAATGGAAACATAGTGAGAGAAAAATACATTTATTTTATACAAGGGTTGCTTATTTAAATCTTATGTGACGGCATATATTGCAAAGATTTGATAATTAATTAGATAGGCGACAACAGGAAATGTTTTAAATAACGCTTTGTAAAATGATGTGTAAATATTATTGGAAAGAAAAATGTTGCGTTTTTAAAATAAATAATTCAAAAACTCAAAACCCATATGCTTTATTTATTTTGCAAAACAAATGATTGGATTCTCATTGTGACTTAACAAAGTGAATAGTAAGTAAAAATATTATATCTATGCAATAAAAGATTATAATTCATAATCTGTATACAGTTATAATGCTCCTTAATATTAGAAACCCATTATGTTGCAAAAACAAACCTTTAAGCACAGTTTGAAATAAAGACAAGTTCAAATTCTTTTCAAGGAAATAGTTTATGTTTAGTAATAAAACAAAGAAATTAAAAAGAAACAAAAATTTCGTACGATAAAGTTGATTGAGAAACTTTTAGCCTTAAAAAAATAGCGATATTATGAGCAAAGTTTCTTGAATAATCTCCAGATATTCTAGAAAATTCTTTATATCTTCCTTAGAGCGTAGGCTATAGAAGATTTCAACGAAATTTTATAGATAAATTGCTTCAGTATAACTATAGATAAGGGACTTGACTAGAAATACATCGATTTTATATCTTGTAATCGATTTAGCAGAAATTATCTTGACAAGAAATTATCTTTTAATCGATTTAGCAGAGTGCAGCTGCGGGTAAAATAAAGGAATTTTCAATATTTGTGAAAAGATATTAGATATTTTTATTAAATGTTTTATTTTTATTAACATAACTTATTCAAATTTTAAGATGTATTTTGAAAACAAAATTTAATACACTCTCACTATACTATTACTTTTTAATGGATGGTTTTAACTAAACTTATATTTGTGTTTATAACCTGATTTTAATCCAGCGTTTTATAAACTCTTGTTAGCGTGTCAAAGAATAGAGAATATTATTACGATATTATTTAGTGTGCAAATGTTGTAAAAATCGCTTGTTGCAGCAATCGTCTGTTATTATTATTTTCTTTTTTCTTAATTTAAAACGTTTTTCGTAAAAACTTTCCTAACATCCGCGAGGTCATTCTTTACCCATACTAAAATGAATAGTTAAAGTTTAAAAGACAAATTTTTTTTAAAAAAAGAAAAGAAATTTCTAGGTTGAATGCTGTCTTTTAGCTCCAAAGTTATTACATTTATCTCATTTGTTTCCTTTTTATCTATAATTTTTTTCCATCTAAAATTGTCATTGTTAAGCTAATTTTGCATGCAGAGGAAAGGATTCATAAATAACTGGTGGAGTTAAGAAAAAAATAGGTAAAATTTTTACAAACTTGATAATTTTTTTTATTAGTTTTTCTCGTAAATACTTAATAGTTTATAGCTAATGAGAGCTTTATTAGAATATTAAATATTATATTGTATTATTATATTGTAATAAAATACTGTACTAAATTGGGCTGAATTAAAAAAAAATGGAGGTTTCTTCAAAAAGTTCGATATTCTTTGTAGTACAATCAAATTATGGGGGGGGGGCAACTGTACACTTAAAATAACTAGTCGGGATTTATTGGGATATACCTATGATGATCTCAGGTGGCCTCACACGAAATCCACTTGATTGCTTTTGGTGGAAAGGGGAGAACTTAAATACAGATATATAAGAAAATCAATTTTTTTTCTGATTTAATTTTTTACGCTAAATTAATAGAGATAAAAAGTGGGGCTGGTATACAGAAGTTAAAATCTTTTTGTGAACAAAAAGTATAATTATGTAGCTGAACCTATATATGCACTTGACATTGCTATCTCGACAAATTATATATTAATATCTCTGTATACTTTCTCATGCTGGATTAAGGGAGATTAAACATATTTTAATAGGATTAATAGTTCAAAAGTTAAAGAGATTTTTAGGTATAAAAAGAGCAGTTATTTTTTGCATGTACGAATTCACACTTTTGACATTGCTCTCTAGGCAAGTGAGGTGTATGTATCGTAAAAAAACTATATTATTTGCCCATGCTGTCAGAGATACTAACTACTACTGATTCTTCGCTGTTTCAGAAAATATTTTTACTAGTTAAAGCAAGGGTAATGCATTTATACTCTAATAAATTAGAGTTAAAAGAATTTTGTCTACCACTAGACACAAGTCATTTAAACAAACATATATATGTAAGGTCATAAAGAAAAATGCCTAATAATTTTTTTTTTAAATTTCTGCTTGTTTCAAAAAATTTTACTTTAGTTCTAGCACTGTAAAAATGATTCGCTACAGCCTCAAATAGTCTTGGAGCTAATATACATCAATGTTAAAATAGTAAATATATACTGGTCAAAAATAGCACTTTTTATACACAAAAAAACCTTGTTACTTCTGCACTATTAAACCTATTAACTCGTGTTTAAATTCATTTGATTCAGTGGAAAAATATGCGTTGGAAATAATTCTCACTCATCAATATAGCTATGCGAATCTGTAAATAAGTACAAATATACAATAGTACATAATAGGTACAAGTTTATAATACTTTTTGCAGTGCCCAAAAAAAGAAGAATAGAAAAAAAATCCAAAGGTCCTAAGGTGAAAAATATTTCTTAGTAAATGCATATTATTTTTTATTATTTTATTTAATAATGATCGAAAAAATTTTGAACAGTAAGGTATACAATTTTTTGCATCAATAAATCACTTAACCCGATAAATTTTTATTGATGCTACAGAACAGACAGTTTGAAATTTTCACTCCATTAAAAATACCCTAGCTTAATTTACCAAGGTAAACTTTTTTTTGTTTACATCAAGTTAAATTTCATTTTTATTTTTTTGATTAACCAGGATTAAAGTCATATTTTTAATTTAAAAAAGCTAAATAAATTATTTAATGTCAGGTTACATTTTAATATCATCAGTTCTTGATATATTTTACACCTATTTGGAAACAAATGTTGTCAGACCTAATTTGATAAATTTTAAATTAAGGTTCTAAAAAAGAAACTATCGATAAAATATTTACTACAGAAACATTAAAAATGCATTTTCGTAAAGCTATAATTTGTTAAACACAATGCATTTTCTTCTTTCCGTATTTACTACTTTCTATATTGAAACTGTCTTTCAATATTTTTTACGATGCTTGTTTAAGTTTTGTACATTTTTTGGCATACTCTAAGAAGAAACTCCACAATGCTTCATCTATTCGCTAACCTGTTTGTGTAAGTTCATTCGAATTTATATACAGTCGTCCCCATTTAATCGTCCCTCGGATAATCGAATAACCCGCTTATACGAATACAATCTAATGGAACCAAATCATTTTACATTAAACTAATGTTGAACTTCCCCGTTTAAACGGTTATTTGTTGTTTTTTGCCCCCGCTTAATTGCATAAAGAAGTGGTACTGAAATGAAAAAAAAATTGTCAATTTTAGAGAAATATTTCACCAGCTAATATAGAATTTATCTTTTTCAGTTAAGATATGGTTACAATAGGTGGTCATTTCAATAGGGACTTCTTATTATAGTAGGTGCTTGGGATGAAGTTGAAAAATTAATCAAATCTTGCTGCCAGTTATACATTGAAGTAAACGAAGGGGGTTTTACCCCTCTTTGACTTACTTCACTCACACATCATTTAGTATGTAAAAAAGGGATAGAGTGATTTGTTTTTAGGTCAAGACTTGNTAATGAAGGGGACTCTGTCAACTGCATCATTAACAAATGTCGTCTCGCATTCATCATCACTCGAATAGAATTTAAAAATAGTTTCTGACGCCATTTTTTATTTTTCAAATGCGGCGGCGTATCAAAGATGATTTATAATTACTTATTTCCTCGAATTTTAAGTGTAGATTTACTTCAAGAATTTTGATATCTCTGAAAAATTTGCATATTTAAAAATATCCTCCTTTGAATAAGTGCTACATGATTTAAGTTAAATACGGAAAAATTACTACGTTCTTGAACGTTTATTAACTTAAAGTTTTATACATCCATATTTTCTATTCTATACGAGACAGGCTTTAAGTTATGTTTAAAATGGTTTCTATTAAAAACAAGTTGCACCCATACAGCAACTGATAACCCTTAAACTGCTTTGATGTAACATTTTAATCCTTTTTATTAAATATTAAAAAAAAAACATTTATCATTCCATAAGAAATTGCAAAAATATAGCATAAATCAAAATGAGATATTTAATAAACTGGAAAGACTTCGAAGGAAATTAGCGAGAAGCCAATGTTTTTCTAATATATATATATATATATATATATATTAGAAAAACATTGGCTTCTCGCTAATTTCCTTCGAAGTCTTTCCAGTTTATTAAATATCTCATTTTGATTTATGCTATATTTTTGCAATTTCTTATGGAATGATAAATGTTTTTTTTTTAATATTTAATAAAAAGGATTAAAATGTTACATCAAAGCAGTTTAAGGGTTATCAGTTGCTGTATGGGTGCAACTTGTTTTTAATAGAAACCATTTTAAACATAACTTAAAGCCTGTCTCGTATAGAATAGAAAATATGGATGTATAAAACTTTAAGTTAATAAACGTTCAAGAACGTAGTAATTTTTCCGTATTTAACTCAAATCATGTAGCACTTATTTAAAAGAGGATATTTTCAAGTATGCAAATTTTTCAGAGATATCAAAATTCTTAAAGCAAATCAACACTTAAAATTCGAAGAAATAAGTAATTATAAATCATCTTTGAAACGCCGCCGCATTTGAAAAATAAAAAATGGCGTCAGAAACTATTTTTAAATTCTATTCGAGTGATGATGAATGCGAGACGACATTTGTTAATGATGCAGTTGACAGAGTCCCCTTCATTACGCCACCAATGTTGAAAAATTAGAGATTATCGAAAACGGAGAAGAAGTTTAGTATGAATGAAAATAAAAAAAAGACATCTTTTTTCTAAATATCCATATTTTCTTTATGATAAAAAAGTGAGATAGTATCTTTTTATATTTTCTTCGAGTTCACGCTTTATATTAACAATCACTCATTCTTCCAATTTTTTAAGAGTCTTCTTAATTGACTTAACAGCACTTATAATTTCTAAATTGTGAATAAAGTGGTTTGACATTTCTCAATTATTGTTGAGTTACATCTTCATCTTCGGAAAAGGCGCCTTTG